GACTAACCCAGAACGCATGGTCATTCTCCTGCCTCAGCCTACGAAGGGCTAAGATTTACAGATGGTCTGTAAACCATCATAGTTCTCTCTTTCTCTGTCTGCAGGGCCTCACTATGTAGCCTTGGTTGGCCTGGAAATTGTTATGCAGACCAGGCTGGCCTTGAACTCAAGAATTCTGCCTGCTTCTGCCTCCTAAGTGTCAGGACTAAAGGGGTATGTCACAATGGCAAGCCTTTCCCACCCCACCACCACCCTTTTCCTTTCAGCACTAGGAGCTGAATCTAGGGCTCTGTGCATGCTAAGCAAGTGCTCTATGTAAACCATACCTCAATTCTGTTTCAATGTTTATCTGGAAACAGTATTCTCTAAGTTGCCCAAGCTGGCTTTGAGTTCACCTCAGCTCAAGCAGAACTTGAATTTGCAATCTTTCCACTTTTAGCCTCCTTCCTAGTTGAAATAACAAGCCCTAACATTGGCCAGGATATAGTTTTCCAAAGAAACATTACAGACCCTCAGGATGTAGATCAGCGGTAGAGCTCTTGCTGACTATATCAAGCCCAGGGCTTGATCCTCAGCATACCACGTACACACACACAAATGTTTTAAAAAAACACAGCTGAAGCCGGGCAGTGGTGGAACATGTTGTTTGTCCCAGAGGCAGAGGCAGGTGGAGCTCTGAGTTCAAGTCCGGCCTAGTCTACAGAAGTGAGTTCTGGGAGAGCCAGCGCAGAGAAACCATGCCTCAGAAGAAATAATAAATAGACGAATGGTGAAGTATAACTGAGCATGGTTGTACATGGAGATGGGTTGAGGGAGAGGATGCAGAGTTGGATACTAACCTGAACTACATAATAAAAGACTCCCAAAAGCCAGGTACTGTGGCACATGCTGTAATCCCAGCACTCTGGGAGGCAGAGACAGGTAGATCTTTGTGAGTGTGTGGTCAGCCTGGTCTACAAAGCGAGTCCAGCACAGCCAAGGCTTCACAGAGAAAACAAATGCCAAAGAAACAAGAAAGTCCAAAGGTGAAAACACACTGAGCAAAGGATCAGCAAACAGTAAGTGCTCCATAAATGTCTGACACCGAATTGGAACTGCTGCCTCTCTTCCTTCCTCAAACATTATCCCCTGGATTCTTGATAAAAGGGCAAAGCCCAGAACTGAAGCCACTCCACTGCCTTGTCCACCATCTGCAGGGGATGAATGAACTATGTTTGTACTGGCGATGAGTAGAAAGACTGTCATCATCACAGGCAGGCTGAAGGGCTGTTAGAATCTGTTGCTAGGAAAAAACAAAAACAAACAAACAAACAAAAAGCCCACGGAGACCACAGGGCAGTTTGGAAGGCATGTGCACAGCTGCCCAACTGTAATAGTTAATCTGAGATCTTCTACCTTCTGCGGAATGAATGTTTTGAGTTTTCCCCACCATCTTTCTTTCTGTCTTCTCACTCCCCGAAACACCAGCCCCAGGGCTGCTGTTGAGTTAAATCTGGGTGTTACACCTGCTTGGGACTTGCTCATCCTTGCTCATCAAGTTGTGGCGAAAGACTTTTCTGTTCAAACTGCCCACTTGCCAGGCATTTGCCCATGTGTGGCGGAGCCTCCGCCCATGACGCTCTGCTTAACACGTGCTCTAACGTTCCTTAGACGCACCTTTCAGCCCTCAGATTCAATTCAAAACCACAGGCTCCTCTCTGAGACACTTCCCAATGCCCAAATTAAAACCTGCCTTCACCATGGGGCTAAGGAAGATGGCTCAGCTGGTGAAGTACTTGCTTTGTGTGTTAGCTAGTTTTATGTCAACCTGACACAGGCAACAGTCACTGGAGCGGAAGGAGCCTCAACTGATAAAAGGACTCCATAATAACAGCAGTCTGTGGGGCACTTTCTTAACTAAGAAATTAATTGATAGGGGAGGGCCCAGCCCTCACTGTGGGTGGTGCCACACCTGGGCTGAGCAAGTAAGCTGGCTGAGCAAGCCATAAAGAGCAAGCCAGTAAGCAGCACCCCTCCATGGCCTCTGCACCAGCTCCTGCCTCCAGGTTCCTCCCCTGTCTGAGTTTCTACGTTGGCTTCCCTCAGTGGACTGTGACTCAGGACAAGTAAGCCAAATAGACCCTGTCCTCCCCAAACTGCTTCCGTCATGGTGTTTCATCACAATTGTAATCCTAACTAAGACACTGTAAGCATGAGGATGAAAGGCTGGATACCCAGAATCCACATAAAAAAGCTACACACACACACACACACACACACACACTGGTTATACCAGTGCTGGGAAACATAAAGAGCAGGACCCTGAGGCTTGCTATCCACCCATATTAGCCGAGCAGTGAGTTCCAGGTTTATTTCAGTGAGAGTCTGCCTTTCAAAAACCAAGGTGAGAGGCTGGAGAGCTGGCTCAGTGGTTAAGAGCACTTGCTGCTCTTGAAGGGGACCCAGGTCTGATTCCCATCAATCACATGACAATTTACAACCAGGAATCCAGCACCCTATCATGACAGGCACCAGGCATGCCCGTGGTTTACACACACACACACACACACACACACACACACACACGCAGGCAAAACATCACACATTAAAAACAAACAAAAAACGCAAAACCGACTCTCCTCAGGATCCACTGACTTCTGTTCTGCACACATATATGCACGCCTCTCCCACATGAATACACACAAACGTACCCCGCTTTACATGCCTCAGTTCCATGACCTCAGCGGGCTGACTTCTTTGAGCAACTTGCCAGAGCTCAAGGTGCACTCACTCGTTTCCTAAAAGACTGAGCTTCCTAACGGCAAGGGGCAAGGGGGCATGTCTGTCCTCCACCACGGAGGCCCCCGATCACCGAGGGCAGCAGCACACTGACAAGCAAATGGATTCTTCAGAAGTGCTGCCAGACTGTGTCTCTCAGGCACTACAATGGGGCTTGAAGCTTCTCTCCCTCCCCACCTCCCCACCCTAGGCACTGTCCTCCATCAAGACAGGATCACAAAGTCGAACCCTGTTTTGGGCTAGATTCCTTCCTCCACAGTTTAAAAAAAAAAAAAAAAAAAAAAAAAAAGGAGTTATTTGTAACTGAGCAAGGGCCATGGGTGAAGACCAGCTGGAAAAAAATGTCATTGTTTAACTGTCTAAATGACAAGAAAAAGGTTTTCTCAGACCCTGATGGCAGAGAGGGGTTTAGACTCAATGTAGAGAGAATTGGGTTGCAAATCCTGAAATTCAGCACTGTTTACTAGCCCTTCTGTTCATCAGATACAGGGCTTTCGGCCTCAATTTCCAGATCTGACAAATGGGAACAGTGATAACTATACGCAGGTCCTGACGTCCTCCCCCCTCCCCCTTGGCTGTGGATGGAGGTTCTGTACCCGGAAGGAAGCTGAGGCTCCGCGGGAGACTGTTCTGGTCCCAGGAACTGAGTAAGTAATCACTGAGCCGTGAGTGCGCCAGAGTGTTGCAAAGGCATTTTCAGCTAGGACGCAGTGACCTTGGGTTCCGGTCTGAACAGCCTGTGATGGAGCCTAAGCCCCAGCCCCAAGCCTGACCTCAGCCGTGGGCCGAGTCTTTTAGTTGGTTCCTCTGACAACAGCCAGGCGCGGTCCTATGATGGCGTAGGAGGAAAAAGACAGCCACATAACCCAGGAAGGCCAAACACCATCAAGATACACACACCTTACCGGGAATCCAGACTCTTAAGCTACATCAAAGCCAAACCTACCCCAGGCTCCTAAAGACTACAGGCTTCCCAGCTACTCGGCGGAGCTGGGCCTCATGCTGGAGCGCCCAGGCTTCAGGAGTCAGGCCTAATGGAGGGGCTCTTCTATTCACCCGCTTGGGCTGCCAACCCCCACTCCTCATCCCCCAGCAAAGAAAGGCTCCCAGGCCATTTCTATTCCTTCTGTGGCTCAAGAGTCCTGTTATTTAATACCGTGGCCACCCCGGCAGCATCCTGCCGTGGCCTGCTCCACCCATTCACCTGGCCAGTTCACCACTTCTCCCTCTTCATTTACGGGGGCGAGGAGGGGGAGCCTTAGGGAAAACTGCCTTCTACAACAAAGGGCGGGGGACCACAAGACTACAAAGGCCAGCGTCTTCCGAGGACTGAAAGACAAGGACGCGAGTAGTGAAAGGGGCACCTAGCCAGGGCAGCAGAGGGCGGGCGGAAGCCCGGGGCACTGCGGACATTACACTGGGGCGGGGGAGAGGCGGGGCGCTGAGAGGTGAGGGCCAGGCCTCTGGCTGAGTGGACAGAATCGCCCCGGGGGGTACTGCAGCCGGAAGAGGCCTCGGCCCAGATACTGTCCACACCCAAGAAATGGGGGGGGGGGGGGGGGAGTGGTCTGCACTTAGAAAGGGAGCCAGATTCTCTCAGCAACCCCCACCCAGTCCTTCTTTGAAATAGACAAAGGACATTTTCTTAATTTTTGGCAAACGCAGCTGGAAGGTCCCTGCCCCCGACGTCCCCAGGCGCCACTGATCTTGAAAAGAAGGTCCCCAGTAGGGGTCCTCTCGCTTCCCCGACTCCCCATCGCCTGCGGCGACAAGAGATACGCTGAACGAGGTGTGTCCTCCCCCACCCTGCTCTGAGCCCAGGATCCGGAGGCCGCAGCGCCCCCCACCCTCTAGTCACACTGACGGTTCCTGCCCAAGCCCGCAGTGGCGTGAAGGTGGCCTTTACCTCCTCTCGCAGGCTGGGAGGAGGGTACAACCCACGCAGCTGAGCCAGCTGCAGTAGTCGCCGCCGCCCTCCATTCATTAAAAAGAAAAAAAAAAAAAAAGGAACAACCTCCACCCCTTTTTGTAAAAGAACGACGGCCCCTGAAGGAGCAACAGCCGGCCCCAGCAATCACGGGTTAAGCTCTTTTCCGGCCCCCCATTCATAAAAAAAGGAGCGCAGCGCATGCGCGCACAGGGTCGCCTGTGCCCACCCATTCATAGAATCGCGGGCGGCGCGCGTGCGCACTGGAGCTCTCTGCCCTCCCATTCATAAAAAAGCCATTTTCCCAGGCAAGGGTTGCAACATCGCCGCCGCGGCAGCGAGCAGACCTGACAGCCCCGAGCTGGTGCTGCAGGACTCAAGGAGCCTTACCGGCTCCTCTGACTGGCGTCTGCGAGTACAACTGCGACTGACCCACAAGGGTTCGGGGATTTACACAGACTCAGGAGCGATGCTTGTGACTCTGCAGCTCCTCAAAGTAAGTCCACAGCCGGTTTGGGGATCCAAAAGTATCCCCTCAATGCCGTGACGCGGCTCCCCTCGGGCTGGGGCCAGTGGTGCGCTATTTAGAGCCGCTTTGGTGTCCGTTCCCTCGGTTTGCGCCTCCTCGAGTCCCTGCGGTTCGCCGCAGCTACCAGGCGCGCCCGGCCGGCACGGCGCTGGGGGTGTTCGCAGCCTGGCACTGCGTTGTCGACCCTGGGCATTGCCAAGCCGGGCTTCCGAGCCCTGTGCGACTCTGGAAGCCCTGTGCACGTCCGGGGAGTTTGCCTGTGGCCTGGCCTCTTCTGCCACTGCTCTCCTGGAGCGTTGCAACCCCTCAGCCCTGGGCTAGCTCTGGAGCGACCGCTTGGGACTGGGGGGGCGCCCGAGGTTTGGGCGGCTCGCCCACCCCGGGGCTCCGTGCCCACGCTGCCAACTCTGCCGTGGGTCTTCCCGGCCCGCCTCAGCGGCCTATGCTCGACGTAGCTTTTTCTTTCCCGGTTCCGAGCAAGGGAGGACTGGGATTCCTTTCCTTATGCTTCCCTACCGGGTGGTTAGCGTAGGGCCGGCCAAGGACCGGGCTTTTCTGCTCCCACTCCTTGGCGAGGCGGTTCCAGGCCGTCTGACCTTTGCTCGGCTGTCTCATTTTATGCTGTACCACTGCCTTGCCTCTTCCTTCCCTAGCCTCTTTTGGGCCCGAGGCTCCTTGGCCAGTCGGTGCTCCCCTGTCCTCAGACATCGATCTTTGCCAAGCCCCAGGGCCCCAGGGCCTCTCGTTAAGGCTGTGGTGGGGGCTGAAGGTGCGTTTACATAACGCCGGGCGTGTGGGAGCCGGAGGAAGAGGTTGCGTGCGTAGGAGAGATAAGGTGCCCACTTTCCCTCCTCGTTGGTACCAGACTTGACAACACCGAGAATAGAGGATAAAGACGGTATGTTCTAAAAAATTTGAAGTCGCCAGGGCCACGGGGCCATTGAGGGGGGTAAGGGGGAGGCCGGGCTTGGCTAAGCCGGGCAGCTGGAGCTTGGCTTCATCACTGGGGCCACGGCTGTGCCCAGTTCCCTCTCCAAGCAGACGATCAAAAAGCATTTACAGTAGCTGCTCTTGGGCAAGAAGACGGTTTCTCAATTCTTTTGATTGGGAGCTGGAGGTTGTGGGTAGAGGAGGGGAGAGGCGGAAAGATGGTTGCATGACCTGAAGGGCTGAGGGATGGATGGGCTGGAGGGGACTGCATGCAGAGTAGAGGAAAAAGCTGCTGCTGGCTGGGCATCCATATTGTCAGGCCTGGCTCAGGGCAGAAGGCCTCCTACTGCGCAGGGAGGCTCCCGGGAACCCTGCGATGCTGCAAAGAAAAGATAGATTCCTGGGGTCCTCAGACCTCAGTCCCCAGTGGTAGTCTTCTCCAGATCAGTGGTGTGATCCCCCCACCTCCCACCCCCCTTTTTCAGGAGAGGCAAGGGAACCTGGGGAGGGCAGGAACCCAAGCAAATCCTCTGTAGCTGACCAGTGCTGCAACCTTTCTGACAGGCCTGTAGGCGGTAGAAGATTGGAAGGTGAGACCTAGAGCAGTTGGGAAATAGGGGTTTATCAATCCCTTAATATATTCCGTCTGGCCTAAGGCCCTACCCAATATTGCACTGCTGGATTTCACAATATTCAGAGTTCTCTGGATCTTCACACAAATGGAGCATAAACATCTGAAATTTTCTGGTTCTAACCCTGGTTTAGTGCCTTCCTATGGGTCCGGGAAGGGAAGGATTTCAGTTGCTCAGGCTTTTTCTCTGAAAGAAAGACGTTGTAAGGTTGGCATCCCTGGAGTTGAATTTCCTCTATTGCTGTTTCTTGGAGGGTCTCTTGGCTCCAGGAAAATTTTCGCCTGGCAAGAGCAGTTGTACTGGGCTGGTGGGCCTTCAGATTGCTGAAATCAGGATGGACAGTTAGGTTGAGGGAGCTTTAATGACATCCCTTGGTTATACTCCATCTGAAATTTTAGACTTGAGCTCAGGAGTCACTTTCCTTCTGGGATGTCCATGCCCTCCTGCTGAATCCCACAACCCTTTCCGTATTTCCCTCCCCACAGCTTTGGTGGTAAGAGACAATACATGGACCCATTCCGGGCAGGTGGGAGGCTGGGCTTTGTGCCTGTGTCGCGGTCCAGAATTTAGAAATCACCCTTTGCCCAGTTCATACCTTTTTTTCACTATCTTGCAAACTTAGCACTATATGTGCCCAGAGTTTTGGCTGACTTTCTAAAACAACAGAAAACAGATGAAGGCAAATAAGCGATCCAAAATTAAGGGAGACACAAAATCCATTAACACTTTATTAAGCGGCTTTTGAAATGTGTTACTATGGGGTTTTAACACCTTTGGATCATGCAAAAGGGCTTTAAACTACACTTTTCTGATGTCCCTAGATGTGGTACCTTTCTGCCCCGTTTTGGACTCCTAGAACATTATTTTTAATTTATTTTTGAGGCATGAGCTCCTTATGTAGTCTTAGTTTGTCAGGGGAATATACTGAGTGGAGTTGGCTCTTTGCTAGCTGGCTTGCTTGCTTTGAAACAGGGCTTTATCCTGTAGGCACAGGCTAATTCTGAATTAAAAAAAAAAAAGATTAAGAGAAAGGTTAATCGTGTGTATGTGTACCTCCGTGTGAACGCAGTTGCCCGCAGACACCAGAGGTCGTGAGCACCGCTGCAGGTGGTGTTCCTGGGGCAGTTACATGCTGCTTGATGTTGGTGCTAGAAACCAAACTCAGATCTGCTGAAAATCCAGGGCTTAACCACTAAGCCCTCTCTCCAGACCTATAACCATGAGTTCTTAATTTTTCTGCCTCCTGTAATCCTGGGTGCTAGTTTTACAGATGTGCTACCTTGCTGAGCTGTTTGTTTTGTTTTTTTTTGAGACAGGGTTTTGGCTGGCCTGGAACTCATCATGCAAAACATGCTGATTTCTAACTTGGAGCAATCCTCCTGCCTCCGGGAGTGTCGGCCTGACAGGCAGGAAGGCTCCACCATTCCCAGTTCACAACAGGGTTTTTGAATGAGAGGAATGGTAAACGTGGAGAAGAACAACACAGTGACCAGATTTTTTGCAAGGAAACAATGACTAACTCAGGGGAAATTGTATTATTGATTCTTTCAGACCAGGCTACGACCTGCCAAGCATGGGCCTTAAGAGCCAGAGGAACCAGGGTTAGCCAATAGGGCTGCTAGTGAGTGGCTAGCACGGGGACACTTTTAGTCCTTTACTGCTAGTAGGAGGGTTTAGTCTTAAGGACATTTTGAATAAAAGGCACAGGAAGTACAAGGTACTGTGTGATATGAAAGGTTGGGGTTATTGGCTCCCAGGGAGCTGGGACTACCCTGCAGACCCTGACAGCTGATTGGATTGGGGAATGTATGCACGATATGTGGTCAGGTTTAAGAGGCCCTGCTGTTCAGCTGTGATGGGGTTGTTCTTACCAAGGAAGGGCCTCCAGTCAGTGAAGGAAGCGAGGAAGAGAGCACAGATGTTCTAGGTCTAGTGGAGGAAGGGAAGGGGCCCTGGGGCAGGTGGCCACTTGCAGAACAGCGGGTTTCCCTTGTCAGTCTGTTTGTGGCTGGGAAGGGCGGGGGGACTCATTTCCTGTTCAATCCCAGGAGTAGGCTAAGAGTCTATTGTCAGTTCTGTTTCTTGGTGGAGGTTAGGGAGACAATAAGACCATCTTGATGACATGTAAGAAGAAGCCTTTCAAGCGAGCGGGTGTCTGCAGCTTTGGGTCACATCCTACACTTTGGTCTGGCAGCTCAGAGCTTCGTGTAGTTCGAGGATGTTGCTGGTTGGTTAGCGGGTTAGCGGGCTCCCGTCCATTGCCCTTCCTTTGTGACATGGCTTCTGATTCCTCTTAATGGGATATTGTACAGATAACAAGAATAGGGCGGTATACATACAGCAAAATGAAACCTTGAAGCTGGTTTAAACTGTTCAAAATACAACAAGGATGGGGAAGAGGGCTGAAAACTGATGTTGGGACAAAGGATGAAGGGCCGTGTATCCTTTCCTGATCCCTAACATGGCCAGCCGTGAGCTAGTAAAGTAGGGAGTGTGTGAAGGTGTGTCCTCAGACAAACTCAACTGCCCAGAAGCTTTCTGCTTCTTCCACTGGGCTATTCTTCACAAATTGACTTTCCTCATAAGACTCAGAGAGGGAAGTCCCTGGCTTTCACTAGCTCCCCCCCCCCCCCAGTCTTTTTAAAAGCAATGTCATCGTCTGGCTGTAGCTTAATTAACTAAGCTGGGATAGTGGCACAATGGACTCAGCAGTGATGTTGCTGCAGAGGAGTGGGCAGGCTCTCCGCAGCCTGAAGACCTTTATTCTGAGTTGTTTAAAGGGTTAAACAACCCTCTGTGGGAGAACCCCCTGAGCCTGAATGGGCAGCACAGAAATTGCCCATTCATTCAGAACGCCCTGCCAGTTTGTCATTAACCGACCTGTAGAATTTTAAAGTATAGCCAGCAGGTTTTCCACATATTTCCCAGCTCCCCTTGCTAGGGTAAATCAAGGGAAAGATTGTGTGTTGTATGGACATTTAACATACCTCTTGGTGCTTTTCATGCAGCCTGTGTCCATTTCTCTTCCCACAGTTACAACTGGCAGTGATGGTCAAGACAGGCAGCTCTGAGCTGCAAGACCAAGCCCAGATCAAGGGACTGAGAGGGAAGGGGGGAAGGGTTGAGCAGCTTGCTGACTCATCAGCAGGCCTCTCTTCCAGTTTCCTTGTGCCTGGCTCTTCCTTTGCCTTCCCTCCGCTCACTTCTACACGTGCACTGGAAACTCAAGAGATGCCCCAGAAACCCCCAAAGCTTAACTTGATAGGTGAGGGAGGAGTCCCCTTTCCCAGCAGTATTTCCTTATCTTTGGAGGACTGGTTTTATAGGGAGACCCTGTAAGGGAGATAGATACATACGAATAAAAATGCAAACAGTAAAGGAAGGATGAAGTGACAGAACTGGCCAACAAAACAAAACCAAAAAACTAACTGGAAATTTTTAACTGGGGGTCTGGGACAAAAGCCCTATTCTGAGTCATTTATTTGCTGATTATGTTCCTGAACCTCTCCTCATCCCTGCTCGACACCCCAGGGCTGGTGGCTAATGGGCAGGCTACAGAAGGGTCCATGACTAAGAAAATGATGCTTGTATACTTGGATCCCCAGAGGTAGGGAAGTCGTTGTCAGCTAGGGCTGCAGGGCTGTTTCTCGGCCACAGGGTCATCAGACTGTGTGGAAATGAATCCCGTTCTGGTCCCTTGCTCTACTCTCGTGACCTTTTTTGCTTTGAAGTGCATTCTTCCTTCTCCCTCAGTGGCTCTCTATCTTAGTTTTACTTATGTGTATGAGGGTTGATATACATGCCTGTATTTATACCACAGGCATGCTTGGCAGTTTTTGGAGGCCAGAATAGGGTATCAGATTTCTCCTAGAAGGAGAAATATACATGACTGTGAGCCACCATGTGGGTGCAAGAGACTTAAACTCAGGTCCCTCTGCAAGAACAGTAAGTGCTCTTAATTAGCAAACTGTTTCTCCAGTCCCTCTGTCTGATCAGGGGAGGTGAGGATGGGGTCTCTGAATTCAGTGGTATGACTGACCAGTGAGCTGTGGAGATTCTCCTGTCTTCACTTTCCCTACAGTAAGGCTACAGAGGTGACAAAACTGCTTTGGGGACCAGAACTTAGGGCCTTCTGCTTGTGCAAGCACTCAGCTGACCAGCTCTCCTCGCAGCCCTGCGCCTTTTATTTCTAACTCCAGAATGGGTGCTATCCATTAAGGTGATAAGATTAAATGAGAAAATAAATGACTGTGGGTGCAGGGTGCAGCAGAAAGCTTGGCACCAAGAAGTGTGCCATAAATGTTAGCCCCTTCTAGTAATTCACATTTTTTAATTATTAGTATTATTATTATTTTGAGGGGAGGTGACACATGAGAGTTCCTAATCATATGGCTGTGAGGCACTTCCTTGGCTAAGTGCAGGGTTGGTGTCTTTTCCGTCTGGAACCTTCCAAATTGACCATCAAGCCTTTCCCAACAGCTTAGAGAGGCAAAGCCTTCTGTCCCATTTATATTATATGAATCTCTTTTTTCCTTGGAGGAGAAGCAGAGGTGCTTATTAAACTTAACGCCTGCAGGAATGCGCTAACTGAGGGGCAGAGACTGATCTTGGGAACAGAACTCAGACCTGGGGATTTGGAGGGGCACAAGGAGTAGAGCTCTGGTTGTGCTGAGGGGTTGTCAAGACAGGCAGTTTAGGCTCTCGGAGGCTGGGGTGGGCAAGCGTGTGAGCAGCGGCTCTTGGAGCCAGCCATTGGGTTTTGCTGAGAGGGTTATGGTAGGGAGAAATGCCTTCTGGAACCAAGTGTCAGAAGCTACGTGTCCTGAAAGAGCTGAGTCATCGGGGGCCAAGATTCCACTCTCAAAGCTGGCCTCAGTGCAGATGTTGACAGCTGCCTCTTGAGGGTGATGGGAGCCGTGTAGATAACAGAATCCTCACTGCCTCCAGTGGCTGCTCCAAATTAGTCTGCTGGTGGGGCTTTTGCATGACATGGAGAATCTGTGCCCCGCTGATTCCAGGGCCCGCTGAACATCCTTGAAAGTTGCCCGTGCTTTTTGCTTCATCTGCAAGAACTGCAGCTGTTTTTACAGAGTCTTGGTAACTTGCTTGGGAAAGCAGAGTAGGGAATGGTTCTGACTCTGGCTGCGGGTACCTTTCTCCCGCAGTTTGGTCAGCCTTGGGCTTAGTCTGAGATAAAGCCTTGGCTACAAGGGCCAATGTAAAGCCACTTGAAGCTTCCAGGGACTTTTTTTTTTTTTTTTTTTTTGGCAGGTATTCCCAACCTAGGCTTTCTGGAATCAGGGGCTTATGTTGTTCAAAGAGAAAGGTTCTGGCTAAGACACTCCTTGGCTAGCACCTGGGAATCCTACCTGTGACACTTTATATATTATGCGAAAGTTACATTATTTTTTTTCTCCCTTTAACCATTAAAGACTCCAGGACTAGAAGCTGGGGCTTCCAACTAACTGGACTGTTTGTTGACCCCAAACTTTTAGAGGCAAGGCCTTGGGAACGTTCTTGAAACAAGTGTACTAGTTGAAAGGTAGCATTCCTGAGAGATGCCCTCCCTCCATGGATGCTTCTGCCCAGCCCCGACCACAGCAGTGCACTTGAAGCTGCCTTGATAAGGGGATTGTTCTTCAGTGGCAGGCCTGGTGGGTGATTGAGGCAAACTGCCAGAAAGGTGATGCTCAGATCTATATATGGTGTGTTCATACTGTGGTCATACGTAGCTGTCATCATAGCAGTTAGGGAGCTAAGGCAGGAGGACTTCTATGGGTTCAAGACCAGCCTGGGGCTATTACATAGTAAGTTTCAGACCAACCTAAGATGTAATGTGAGGCCTCGTCTCAACAAACAAGCAATTGAATGAATGAATGAATGAGTGTTCTGATTTCACTGAAGAGAATATTGGGGCCCCTGCAACCTGGTAGACTATCCAAGACAGACAGGGAAATAGTATAAAGAAATACCTGCAGTAGTCAGTGTCCTGTGTGAATGTTGGGCCTTGTAGAAAGGACTTGCTGTTTTTGCATTTAGCAACATAGGTGATGCAGAGCAATGTTGTGGGTAACCCCACCCCCTTTATTCCCTGCAGGAACTTTCTATGTAGAGCTAGCTCTTTATTTCATGTCGACTAGAAACATACAAGAAGGCACTTCAGTTATTTGTAACCAAACCCTTGTCTCCAAGCAGGAGCAAGCACAGTAGTGAGTTCCCATCAGCCTCTTCTCTCCATCACCACAAAACATTTTATTACCACGGTTTTGAGTCCAGGTGTCACTCTCCTGTGATACTGAGATGGTCCCAGCAAGTAGGGTAAACAGAACTAGAAACCTACCTCACATCCCCTTGGCAATACCTTTGAAGATTCAAGATAAACTTCGTTGAGAGACAGGAGCTGTCATTAGCGTCTTGAAAAGGCATTTAGAGAAACACCACTCTTAACACACAAGCCCAGTGTGTGTTGTTGTCTTTATGAAGACTCTCCTTCCCTTCTCCATCCTTCCCTCCCCCAGTCCCTTGAAGTTCTTTGTGGAATCTTCCCACAGTGTAATCTTTCCTTTGAATTCCAAATTGTGTCTCCTTTGAGCAGAGGTCTTGGCCTTCTGCTGCTATTTCTTTAAATTGATCTCCATCCGAATTCCAAATGTAAAGGTCAGCAGGCAAGGAAATGGCACTTCTAATAGAAAACAATGTGCACTTTCTAAATTTGAACCAAGCCGTTTCCGCTCTTTGATTTAAGTGACTTCCTGGGGTTCCGTGTCAGGCGCTGCAGTTGAATCTCTGGCCGGATGCCAACTTAAAATTGCACTCTCTCAGTGAAATTAGAAACTGATCCAGGGCTGGCTTAGCTATTCTGGTAAATAGCATTTAGTCTGAATGTTCAGCTCAGCACTTGGAAATGGGCGATGTGAGTACCCCTTGAGAGGATTTCCCATGCAAGTTGCCGGGAGCTCACCTACCCAGGGTTATTGGCTGCTGGCAGCTGTTGCTCTTGGAAGTGGGAGTAATAGGTTAATGTCCTGGATGAGCAGGCATCGATACATCCCTTCCTTCTCAGTACCCGAAGCGAAGGCTTTTGTTGATCCAGCTGATGAGCTCCGGCGAGCACACAGGAGCTGTTGTACTGAGCACATGCCCAGCCCTCAGTGCCCGGCACAGTTCCTGCAGGCCGGGAAAGTGCTTACTTAGGAAATCCAAAGGGTTGTATTTTGAGGCAGTGATGAATTGTTTAGTATGTTCTGTGTACCCGGCTGTGTGCTGCATACCAGGTGTGCGTTTTCTTACTTAGTCCTTGCCAGAACCCCTTTTACAGACGTAGAACTCCGGCAGCTTTGGCCCCAGCACTCAAAAGTACGGAGGCAGGTGGATCTCTGTGAATTCACGGCCAGTCTGTTAAATACATCGAGTCCAGAGGCCAGCCCAGGTCTACAGAGCGAAACCTACCCTCCCTCACTCCCCCTCCCGCCCCAAAAAAGTTACTCAGGGTCATGAGGTGACTTAAGTAGGTACACATGCTTGTTCACAAGCCTGAGGACCTGAGTTCAAAATCATTATCACACATGAAGGTGGAAGGAGAGAGAGAAGTGATTATCTCCTGAGAGAAGTTTGTTCCCTCAGACTCTCCTCTCCCTTCCCCCCAGATTGAAAAGATAGAACTTGTTCCCAGCAGTGCTCTTAAGACTTACTGTGCTCTGTTTTTGGTCTTGAGATAGATTCTCACTCTGTTGCCTGGGCTAGTCTCAAATTCACAGCCATCTTTTTGCTTCCACCTTCCAAGTTCTAGGATGATGGGTTTATCCATGCCTGGCCCTCTCACCACTACCCTACCCGTGGTGCTGATGCCGAAGCTAGAACCTGTGATGCATACTGGGAAAGCCCTCTCCCACCAAGCTGCACCTTAGCCCAATAGATGTTATTTCTACCAGTATTATCATTATTGAGCATTTAAGCGTTTGGGAATTGCTGGGAAGTTCATTGAAGGGATTCGGTGCCCATTTTATTTAGGCTCCAGAGGCCTGATGCAAAATTGAGGGTAGGAGATTAACGGACCATATACTGATGCTGGGAATCCATTTTCTCTTTCCTTCATCTTCCCCAGGGCCCCTAGAAGCCTGTCTGTTGCTGCAGTCCAGGACCTCCAGCCTCATGGAGCCCCCGATCCCACAGAGCGTTGCCCCTTTGACTCAGAGTTCAGTCATGGTGCAGCCCCTCCTTGACAGCCGAGTGCCCCACAGCCGGCTACAGCACCCACTCACCATCTTACCCATTGACCAGATGAAGACCAGCCACGTGGAGAATGACTACATAGACAACCCTAGCCTGGCCCCCGCCGTGGGTCCCAAGCGGACCCGGGGTGGCCCCCCAGAGCTGGCTCCTACCCCTGCCCACTGCGACCAGGATGTTACTCACCACTGGATCTCCTTTAGCGGTAGGCCCAGCTCTGTAAGCAGCAGCAGCAGCACTTCCTCCGACCAGAGGCTGCTAGACCACATGGCTCCACCACCGGTGGCTGAGCAGGCCTCACCCAGGGCTGTGCGCCTCCAGCCCAAAGCGGTCCATTGTAAGCCACTGGACCTCAAGGGCCCGGCAGCTCCGCCAGAGCTAGACAAGCACTTCCTGCTGTGTGAGGCCTGTGGGAAGTGTAAGTGCAAAGAGTGTGCGTCCCCCCGGACATTGCCCTCCTGCTGGGTCTGCAACCAGGAGTGCCTGTGTTCAGCCCAGACCCTGGTCAACTACGGCACATGCATGTGCCTAGTGCAGGGCGTCTTCTATCACTGCACTAACGAGGATGATGAGGGCTCCTGCGCCGACCATCCCTGTTCCTGCTCCCGCTCCAACTGCTGCGCCCGCTGGTCCTTCATGGGCGCCCTCTCTGTGGTGCTGCCCTGTCTGCTGTGCTACCTGCCGGCCACAGGCTGTGTCAAGCTGGCCCAGCGTGGATACGACCGCCTGAGACGCCCTGGTTGCCGCTGCAAGCACACGAACAGTGTCATCTGCAAGGCACCCAGCGGGGACACCAAGGCCACCAGGTCCGACAAGCCTTTCTGACACTTTGGAGTCGGCACTGCCTTCGGAAACGTGGTCCCTCCTGCCAGTCTCCTGAGGCTGACCTTGCTCATCTGTCCTCTCCTAAACCCTAGATTGGGAAGAAACAGGCAGAGAACACTACCACCCAGTCTTGAGTCCCCAAAAGGATGAAGGTACATTTTGGGGATTTTGATGGTCTTGGAAACTTTATGTCAAGCAGCAGTGACAGTGACAGTGTCAGGGTGTAGTGGTTGGGGCCAGTTTTCCTGTTTCAGAAGGTGGAACACGGATGTGCATACTGATGTGGACGCTCAGCCACTCAGTGGCATTCCCAGGCCTTCCTCTCAACCTCTCCCTCCCAGTTTGCCATTGTCTGTGGCTCCTGCCTGGGAGGTGGCCCTAACGGAAGGTGGACTACTTCGAGGAAGACCCTCAGAGCCTTGACTTCTATCTTTTCCTCCTGTCCATGCCTGTTGGCCTTGGCCTCTTGGGAAGGTGCACCGTAGCGATTCCTGTAATACGTACTTGATGGCTGAGAACAAAATCGCCACTGAGCAGAAGCCTCCCTGGACCACAGGATGGATCAGGAGCCATTGGGCAGCGCGCTCCTCCTAGCTTCAGTCACTAACTTGGGGGTGTCCACTCATCACAGACTGGCCTGCCTGCTATGTGTCCTGAGCTCTCTCTACTCCGATCTTTGCAGAAATTTGCTGGGTTTAAGAAGGCCAGGGTGACACAAGCGAGACCAAATATCATTTTGCCAATGAGTCTGAGGCTGTGGTCTCTGGATCCAGTCGTGATGTTTTTATATGTTTAATTAAACTAGATGCTAATGGTGTTTAAACATAATAATAGCAACAACAACTTGCTTCCTTTTGGGCCACCCCCCAGGAAGGGCTGATTTCAAAATCTGGGGGCATACAACCTCAAGGAGCATAATTTCCCTGCCCATCAAGAATGGCGAAGAAGAGGCCGCACCTCCCATTGGCAGAATGACAGTTGAGCCGAGCTGGGGTTGGGTTTTCTTCTGATTCTGCTGCTTGCCGTCATAGCCTCTTGTGTATAGTGCTGCGTCTGTCTTCATGTAAATAGAGAGGTGATGAACAGAGTCTATTTTAGTGTTAGGAGGCCCCCGTAGGGAAGTCAGAAGAGCCCAGAGAGGATGGGCTTCAGGGGCTGCTGGGTTTGAGCCCCACTTTCGTGCGCAGCACACATAACCCTCCCCTCCCAACAGCCCCCAAAGACGTAGCAACTCTTTCTCTCACGGTGCTAAAGGACTCAGAAAGTGCAGCACGTCCAGTGGGTAGGTACTTGTTGCATGCAAAAAGCTATAGTGTCTCTGGTCCTTGCCCCCCTCTGTCGTGTGGGGTTTTTGCTTTGTGTGGTATTTTGTCCCTGTCCCTGCCTCTGCTGCGAAAAATGGCTTGGGTCAGAAGTGCCCCAGGTGAGATTGGGAGAGCATTAGGCAAAAATCTTGTGCAGCATTTCTGGTTCTGTGGGACCAGAGCTGCTCCCAGGAAGGAGGTAAGCAGGCAGGTAGCTGTGAGTGGAATTACCTAATGCTCTTTCTCAAGGATTCACCGCACCCCCACCTTGGAAACTAGTAGTAGTGACACCTTATGATTTAGAATAAGTTAATTGTAACCATAGGTATTTATTGATTGGAGGAAGGGAGGGTTTTATTTTCAGCTTTATTTATGTAACATTTACTGGCTTGTAAAAGGCAAGTATAAAATACTGCATCTTCATTCTCTATGGCTAATCCGTGTAGCTGCCCTTGCCACCCTCGGCAATGTTCTTGCACAGATCAGAAGGAAAGACGGAAGAAGAAAACTCGTGCAGCCAACCACTTAACACTAATTGAATGTATCAGAAGCTTGCTGAAGGGGCTGGAAATGTTTTCCTCGGATGAGATATGTGGAGGGAAGCCCCCAAAATGATAGCGCACATGTCCACTCTTTCTAAACATCCTGGGAACTTTGCCCCCGGGGTCCCTCCCTCAATTTGTCTCCACAGGACAGTTGACCCAGTGGCAAGTTGCACTTTGGTGATCTTGGTCCACACACCTCTGTGGACAGTTGAGTTACATAGACCGTGTGTGCACATGTGACACTTAGACACACACTGACCCTCTGCCGCACAGACCCTGTTTCCTGGCAACCCCTCCTGAACCTTGACTTTGTGTACATAGCTGTAAACACGGATTTTTATGGGTTTTGGTTTGCTTTCTCTCCCCGTCCTTGTTTTGGCGCGCCAATGGATGTCTGCAGAACTCCCCCTCCCCCGGGGGCTTACCTTGGGGGTCCACTTGCTCAGTGGTGAAGGGAAGGAGCAAAAGGAAGCTTTGTGGCTTCTCCTCAGCTCTGTTTTCTCTGGCTTCTCGGCAAACACCTCCACACGGGAAGGAACACATACACAAAAAGGTGGTAGTTTGGCTGGAGGGAGCCCACCCCCTTCCTCAGACAAGTCCACAGGCACCGAGGGTACAGGCTCTCACAGACACAGAACGTTTCCGTAACTGTTTCTGACTTCTGCGCTAGCGTCAGTGGCTTGCCTGGCCGAGTTACATCTCTTCAAGAGGGCCAGCTGGTTCCCACTTCCAGTCCTGGAGTGGGTCACAGTTGTGCCTGGGGCTAAGGATGCCATCTGGGACATTAGCTGCAGTGCCTTGGCTACTTGGTTTCCCGTTGTGGGGAAAGGCCAGCACTCCCCCCCGGGTCTAGGCTAGCAAAGCCTTCGAAGGTACAGCCAAGGCATCCTTGTGATTGCGCTGGGTTCTTTGCGCCGGTCCATCCTGCGTTGATGGGCCCAGCTGGAGCACAACGCCAAGGGAACAACAGGTACAGCGTTGGTCAGGCCAGGGCTGCTCTAAGGAATGCCCGAGGTGAGCGCGCAGCATGAATTTGCACTGTACAGCTTTCTCGAGCAGCCGGGGCTTCACCAGCCTCCTGGTTTTTGCATTTGGTGAGTTAAGTAGTTCCTTGCCCTCCCTGCTCTGTAACGGTGGATGTCGGTCCTGTGTTACCGTTCTTGTTGTGGGTGACTGCGCTGTTTCTTCTTAGCTTTCTCTTGCGTCCTATGGTTGATTTCCTGTTAGCAGCTGTAGCGCTGTGCCCGGTGCCCACTCCACCCCATTCCCGTCCCATTCTCCCCTCACTGTAGCCCCTTTTCGCCCCACCACAAAAAGTTACCACAGACGGTTTCCTTTGTAAAAAAATATTTATTTTGAAGCTCTATTTTAATAGTATTTATTTTAGAAAGTCTACTATTGTAAGAGTTCTTCTGTTTGTGAAGAAAAAACAAGTTAAAAACTGAATGTACTGATCTAGAAGATATCTATAAATATATATATTGTTAAATATACACGTGGCCGCCATTCTCTTGAGTGTTGTATTCAGTTCTCTGACATCCTCACCACGTGGGCACACGCACAAAGTGGGCTGGGTGTCTGGACTGGGGGACCCTCATCCTACCTCTAGAATAATCTGAAAGCCACCAAACAAAGCTACACTTCATAGGGGAGCTGACTGCTGTCACGTGACACAGGCGACCCTTCCTGGGTCACTGGTTCCCCTGCACAGGGTTTCTGGAGTTTTGAGTTTTCTTGTTTTTTGTGATAGCCTCACTATCCCAAGATAATGCTAGCTCAGGCCTACACCTGTAATCCCAGCACTCGGGGAGGCAGAGGCAGGCAGATCTAGGAGTTTGAGGCCAGCCTGATTTACAGAAGTCCAGGACAACCAAAAAGGAAAAGTAGGAAAAAGGAAGGACCAAATTTTGGCCTTGGTACCCCCAAATATAGAGGCTTCAAGAAGCCAAACTGGTGCACTTAACAGGTTCTTTCATTTTTGCTGGACCAATAAGACCTCAGACCAGGTCTTTTGATCTCTAAGGCCTCCTAGTCATGGAGTGGCTTGTCTAATCAAACTCAAGTTCTCGGGTTAAAAATAGGTACTAACTACTGTGCTTGTTTTTTGTTTGTTTTTTTGATTATTTTTTGTTTTTTTCGGTCACCAGTTGTAGGTGCTAGTTTTAAGGCTGTTTTATTTAGGGTTTCTTAAGCCTCTACCTCCCTTCCAAGCCCCTAACCCTAGGTAGGAGAGAGCCAAGGTTAGAAGGAAAAGGGGATATAGATAGACCCCTTTAGACTTAGTTCCACCTGCTGAGGTCATCAGTGTATGTAGCAGTCTAGCAACAGCAAACACAACAGGACAAACAAGCCGCCTTCTTCGTCCTCTGTCGTAAAGATCCTTCCTCTCCCTGGGCTCTGATATTTGTCCTCTTTGAGTCCTCAGAATTCCACTAACTGCAGCTGGCAAAGACCGTGCCTCTCTCTGAGCCACATGAGGCTATTACCAGCTGTGGACAAACTAAGGCAGTCGCATAGCCAACACTTGGGATTAAAACAAAAGCCTGTTTACATAACAACTGAGTTTTTAAAGAAACCAAAACTTTCACTAAAGCAGTAAGGGCATCTTATACTGCTTAGTAGGATCCAGTCTTGTACCTCGTTGAGTCTTTACATCCAGCTCTTTTTGTTGTTGGGTTTTTTTTGGCCTGTTCTGGAAATCACTCCGTAGACCAGGCCGGCTTTGAACTAACAGCCTGCCTGCCTCTGCCTCTGAGTGCTGGGGTTAAAAGTGTGCACAACCACCACTGCTTGTTCCCCAGGTCCCATTCTCCAATGAAGTTGAATAAAGATAGTCTCAAGCCCTCCTGTTTCCTGACCGCACAACCTCTACCGCCCCTACAGCAGGGGCACTCTGGTCCTGAAGAGTGTCTACCATGCTTGGCTTCACCAGGGTCACTCACTGGTTGCATTAGTAAAGGTCTGCTCACCCACAGGAGGGAGCCAAGAGTGTCCAGAAGAGAATTCCACAACCGCTATCCTTGTCTTTCTCCATCTGGCCTTGTCCCTCATTAGTTCCTAGTTACAGATGGCTTTGGGGTGACCCCAAAGGTCAGCATTTGCTGAGTGACTTTTTGCCTGATGCCCGCTGCTTAGAGAGGCAGACGTGGAAGTTACGGGGAATTAGTGAACGTACAGAATGTAAACCCGAGGCTTCGCTGGCTGTGCTTGGGGAAGTAGGCTGGAAAGTGATCAAATGTAAAAGTAAAAGGTTGTATTAACACTCTTTCCTGTACATAACCACATGGCACTTGTTCGAAGAAGGAGTGGGCGGGCCTCAGCCTGTAGCTCAGTGCTAACAGTACCTGGCTGGTTTGTGCAGGGTCTCCGGCACTGTCTCTAGTCCAAAGGGCTTGGCTTGGTGTGGGCAACTCTTGATACATAGCATGTACCCCTGCAAGTCTGCAGCCTTGTCCGGTGGTCCAGAGGCCCTAGTGAGCTCAGCTCCAGTCATCTACCCAGCCTCGGTAGTTAATAGCTTGAAGTGAATCTAACTTTCCAAAGCATGAACCCCCGGAAAGACCCAGGCAGCCTGCCCGACACTGGAGGTGCTGCCAGATGAAAGCCGGGAGGACATTTTTAAGAGACCTGAAGTTTATTCATCGGAACTTTAATAAAACAATATGTCCATGGCCCGAGGCAGGTATAATTTTCATAATTTATGGGTCTCTGAGACAGGAAGAGAGCTCGGGGTTTTATTGTGTTTCGCACGATAAATGGCATTCCAATTGTCTGCCCGGTGTTCTTTAAGGCCTCTTGTCTGGCGGCAGTGTGGGCCTTCTGGAGCCCACCTGGGCCTGGAGGCCAGAGGCAAGGGCTAATTATGGATGCATCTGGATGCATTAAGCAGGAGATGACTGAAAAACTCCCTGGGCTCTACTTCCTATGCCCACACGTGTGCTAACATTAACTGCTGCAAGCTTCGGGGCTTCACTCTTCGCCCCTCGCAGCCAAGCCCCGCCCCATCCTCTCTGCTGGACCTGAAGAATCTGCAGAGGTGCCGGTTGGATCTGCAGGAAACAGCCACAGCGAAGAGCCCCAGGTGAGGTTCCAGTTGGAATGACTAGGGGGGATATCCTGTAGACTGTGCCACTACAGAACATCAAGGTAACAGGCCAAGTAGCGGTATGAAATACCACAGAGGGCATCACTTGGGAGCATCGTTGGGACATTATCATTTACAATCTTGGCCTCACTTGACAGAAAATCAAGATTCAGACAGGTGAATTTACTTACACTCAGTCCCCCACTCAGAAGTGGTAGACCTGAAATTTTTAACGCAGTAGATCTTCCAAAGCCAGTGCACTAGATACTAAGGACTTTTTACAAATTTTAGACCCGGTCCAAGGAGCACTTCCTTTTGGGCGCTTTCCTTCATCCCCAGAGGCTTCCTCCTCACCTGTCTTTCTGTGATAGTCTGAACTATAGGCTGTTTGTTTCAGCCAAGATTACTTTCCACTGTCACCGACGCAGACTTTGAACCCGGGTCTCAACCAGTGATCCCAGCAGCCCCTATTAAAGCACCAGGAAGGGCTGGAGAGTTAGCTCAGCAGCAGAGAGTGAGTTCGGTTCCAGTCCCCACTTGGCTGCTCACAGCTGTCAGTTCAAGGGGAGCCGACTCCCTCTTCTGGCCTCTCCTGGTACCAGGCCATGACCATGAAGATAAAGATGCATGCAAGCAAAACACCCACACACATTTACAAATTATAAACAATGCTGATGGCCCACTAATGAGCCTGTTCTGAGAAAGAAGCTCTGACCGCACAGCCCCGCCCTTTACCGTTTTGACCTTAGTAGCCCTCTCCCAGCCCCCTAGGCTGTGCAGTGGCCATTTTCCAAGCACCGCTCCTCAGGGTGACTGTCCCTCTGCTCCCATCTTCTAATGGTACACAAAACTAGTTCTAGGCAGGGCCTTGGGACTCTGAGGTGTGACAGTCTTGCATGGTAAGGGCAATGGAGGGCTGTGACCTGCATGGGAGGGACTAGGTCGGTCCCTGTAGAGGCTGAGAACCCGGTAATTGCTCCTAAACTGGATACCTTAGCAGTCCCATCCCGATGTGGAAGAGCTGGGAAGTTCTGGAGTCTAAAAAGCTGGATTCTGGATGGTACTGGAACATGGCAGCGCCAGCAGCAGCAATGCCAGCTGTGTTCACCAGGCAGATGGTGCCACCTTTTCCGGAGGCCGTTTTCTATCTGGGCCACCCGTTGGAAGGGCCTGCTCAACTCCGAGGGTGACTCCTTCTCAGTAACTGTTTCTGGAGATAACTTTGCAGACATGCACAGAGGTGGATCTCACCAAGCTGAGAGTCAAGAGTAACTGTCCTGGCTGGAGGCATGGCTTAGTGTTTAAGAGAACTCAGGATCTGTTCCCAGCACCGACACGACTGATGGGCAGCTCACAACCATCTGTGACTCCAGTCCCGGGAAGTCTAATGCCCTCTCCAGGCCTCCCTAGGTACCAGGTATGCATCTGCTGCCCAGACATACATGCAGATGATACACCCATGTACATATAATAGGAAAGTTAAAAGGAAAAAAAAAAAAGGGGCTGGGTGATGGTGTCACATGCCTTTAATACAGCACTCTGGAGGCAGAAGCAGGCAGATCTCCATGAGTTTGAGGCCAGCCTGGTCTACAGAGCTAGTTCCAGGACAGCCAAGGCTACACAGAGAAACCCTGTCTTGGAATAAAATTAAAAAAAAAAAATCACACATGTGTAAGTGGATAGAGTATCTGCTCTTTGGGTATTTAGGTCATTTCCTCATTATGCTGTGGCAGCCAAGTAACCCTTAACTTCAGCTGGAGTGAGTCCCGCAAAGCCAGCTTCATGGCAGACCCCAACTTCTCTGTTGCCTTCTGTCATCTGCCCCTCAAAGCTTTCCTTCCGGATAAAGATGCCTGTGTGAATGACAGTGGCAAGTTCCAGATTTCACATTTTTCCTCAAGGAAAATTTTCCTATTCACAGTTGTTTCCCATTAAGCTAGTTAAAATAAAAACAACCATCCCTCATTCCAACCACAAAAAAAGTAGAGACACTTCCAGTGAACACCTGCCACCTGACTGGTGTCTTCCTACATCACGGAAGCTGAGATGTGCAAAGAGCTCTTGATGAACATGATATTGCTCAGTAAGTTTTCAGGCTTGCACAAGCATTTTGTGATAAGGACATGGGATACTCTATAGTTTGCTTTTTACTACTTTGTGGGTTCTTTTTCCTACCCTTTATCCCCCAACCCTGTTTCACCTCCTGTCACTAGACTGAGAAAGAAGGATAGAGGGAGAGAGAGAGAGAGAGAGAGAGAGAGAGA